AAAAAACACCGACAAATTTTATGTACTATAGCTAAAAGAAAATGGAGCCCTGGTGGCACAGTGGTTAAGAGGTTGGCTGCTAACAAAAAGGTCGGCAGTTTGAATCCCCCAGCCGCTCCTTGGAAACTGTATGGGGCAGTTTTACTCTGTCCTACAGGGTCACTGTAAGCCAGAATCGAGTATAGGCAATGGGTATAGCTAAAAGAGTTCTAAGAGTATTCTTTCTCACTTACATGTTTATTCCTGAAAAGGATTATAAATTCACTCCCTATAGTCCACTTTATGGATGAGGCACTGATAAAGGAAAGGCAATACCACGCTGTAAAACAGGGTCAGTGGTAGCAGCGCCAGAACCTGTCTAGCTTCAGGGTGGAAGATCAGCCCAAGGTTGATTCCTATGAAGTGAAGGTCAGACACACCTCCTCTCTCCAACCTTCTTACCAATTCTGACACCAGCCATCCCGCCCACAGCACTCTCTACTACTTTGCTGGGTTCGATGATCCACTGCAATCATAGAACTCAGACCATACTTACAGTTATTTATTAAGAAACAGGGTACAACTTGAGATCAGGATCAACAGGCTACAACTCAGGATCAGAATCAGGAAGCATGAAGGCAAAGTTTTCCTTCTGCAGTGCAGGCGAGCTCTCTCAGCTCCTCTCAGCCATGCAGGCTTTCTCTCAGTCCCCTCAGGAGAGGCTCCTCTTGGCCCTGTTGTCTGTCACCGTTGGCTCTGACCACTGGGCCCCTTCTGGACCTCTCACTGCCTTAAGTGTTATAGCCCTTAACCTTTGTTACAGCTCTTTTAGGAGGTTCCTTGAGTCCTCTCTCTCTCTGCTTCTGTTTTCTCTCTTCTTCCTTCTGCTTCTTTTCTTCTGTCTATGAAAACTCTGTGGTGTTGTCTGCTTATATACACAACTCCTTGTCAATTTCAAGACATGGTCCCTCCTACCAGGGCCACAAACTGACCAATCCCCTCTTGGTAGGCCACAGACACTTCATCTTATAGTCTATTGACCAAACCCTGCAAGATGCATAGCAATCACAGGACAGACTGCAGGTAAGGACAAGACAAAAAGTATCAAACTACAAGTTGTTTACAGTTTACCCAGGAAATGTCAATCAACCTGGACAAAAGCAACAAACCCTCTGGGGTAGAAAACTAGAGCAATGCTAATTCCTTAGGGCTTAGGGGGAAAAAATCTCAAGCTGTTTTTCAAAAAAACCAAGGCAAAAGTAGCCACATAAAGGAACTCATTTCACTATACACATATATAAACATTTTCTCCTGGCGTGAATTTTCTAGAGCATGATACATGATTTACTTTTTAGGAGGTTTTCTCATCTGACATTTATACTGTTCGTCTCTGGTGTGTGTTCTCACATGGTATGTTAAAGAGGTGAAGAAAGAGCTTTTCCACATTGCTTACATTCATAGCTTCTCTGCAGTATGCACTGCCAAATGTTCTTTAAAGTGTGACAGTTGACTGAAGCCTCTCCCACACTGCTTACATTCATAGGGTGTCTCTCCAGTGTGCACTCTCATATGTTGTGTTAAAAATGAGGGGAACTTGAAGTTTTTTCACATTCCTTACATTCACTGGGTTTCTCACCAGTGAGCATGTTCACATGTACTAGCAGGAATGACGATCGACTGTTTTCCCACATTACATAAATTCACAGGTTTTTTTGTCCAGTGTATATTCTCACATGTCCATACAATGGACTGCCAGAAGAATGAACAAATCTGTCTTGGAAGAAGTACAGCCAGAATGCTCATTAGAAGCAAAGATGGTGAGACTTCCTCTCACATACTTTGGACAGGTTATCAGGAGGGATCAGTCCCTGGAGAAAGACATCGTGCTTTCTAGAGTAGAGGGTTAGCAAAAAAGAGGAAGACCCTCGATGAGATGGACTGACACAGTGGCTGCAACAACGGGCTCAAGCATAACAACTGTGAGGATGGTGCAGGACCAGGCAGTGTTTCCTTCTGTTGTACACAGAGTCACTATGAGTCGGAACCAACTCGACGGCACCTAACAACATATTGTCATATGTCTTTGAAAGCATGTTCACTGAAAGCTTTTCCACATTGCTTATGTTCATAGAGTTTCTCTCCAGTGTGTGTTTTCATAAGTCTCTAAAGGTGTGGCAGTCAACTGAAGGCTGTCCCTTACTGCTTACAGTCATAGGGTTTCTCTCAGTTTCGAACTAGTTCCATTTCAAACCCCTGCTGAGAATTTGCATTTCTAACAAGTTCCCAGGTGTTATGGATTGAAGTGTGTCCCCCCAAAAATGTGTTGTAAACCATATCCCCTATATCTGATCATGTAAAAGAGCTGAACAGAAGATTTCAAAGGGCAGCTTGAGAAGACAAAGTGTTACAATGAAACGTGCAAAGACCTGGAATTAGAAAACAAAAAAGGAAGAACACACTTGGCATTTCTCAAGCTGAAAGAACCAAAGAAAAACTCAAGCCTTAAGTTACAACAGTGAAGGATCCTATGGGCAAAATACTGAATGACGCAGGGAGCATCAAAAGAAGATGGAAGGAATACAAAAGAGTTACTGTACCAAAAGAATTGGTTGATGTTCAAACATTTCAGGAGATAGCATAAGATCAAAAAACAATGGTACTGAAGGAAGAAGTCCAAGCTGCACTGAAGGCACTGGTGAAAAACAAGGTTCCAGGAATTGATAGAATACCAATTGAGCTGTTTCAACAAATGAGTGCAATGCTGGAAGCACTCACTCGTCTATGCCGAGAAATTTGGAAGACAGCTACCTGGCCAACCAACTGGACAAGATCCATATTCATGCCCATTCCAAAGAAAGGTGATCTGTCATGGATTGAATTGTGTCCCCAAAAAATATCTGTCAACTTGGCTGGGTCATGATTCCCAGTATTGTATGATTGTGTACCATTTTGTAATCTGATGTGATTTCGTTATGTTGTAAACTCTATCACTATGATGTAATAAGATGGATTAGCGGCAGTTATACTGATAAGGTCTACAAGATTAGTGTCTTAAGCCAATTTCTTCTGACATATAAAAGACAGAAGCGAGCAGAGACACATGGGGCCCTCATACCACCAAGAAAGCAGCACCAGGAGCAGAGTGTGTCCTTTGGATCTGAGGTTCTTGCACTGAGGTGCTCCTAGACCAAGGGAAGATTGATGACAAGGACCTTCCTCCAGGGCCGACACAGAGAGAAAGCCTTGAATTTGGACTTGTAGCCAAGAGAATAAATTTCGCTTTGTTAAAATCCATCCACCTGTGGTATTTCTGTTATAGCAGCACTAGATCACTAAGACATGATCCAACAAAATGCAGAAATCATCGAACAATATCATTAATATCACACTTAAGTGAAGTTTTGCTGAAGATAATTCAAAAGCAGTTGCAGCAGTACATCGACAGGGAACTGCCAGACATTCAAGCCAGATTCAGAAGACGATGTTGGAGGAGGGATATCATTGCTAATGTCACATGGATCTTGGCTGAAAGCAGAAAATACCAGAAAGATGTTTATCTGTATTTCATTGACTATGCAAACGAATTTGACTGTGTGAATCATAACAAATTATGGATACCATTGAGAAGAATAGGAATTCCAAAATACTTGTGCTCATGTAGAACGTGTACATAGACCAAGAGGCAGTCATTCAAACAGAACAAGGAGATACGGAGTGGTTTAAAATCAAGAAAGTTGTGTGTCAGGGTTGTATCCTTTCACTATACTTACTCAATCTGTATGCTGAGCAAATAATCCAAGAACCTGGACTATGAAGAAAATCGTGGCATCAAGATTGGAAGAAGACTCATTAACAAACTGCGATATGCAGAAGACACAACCTTGCTTGTTGAAAGTGAAGAGGACTTGAAGCACTTACTGATGAAGATCAAAGACTATAGCCTTCAGTATGGATTACACCTCAACATAAAGAAAACAAAAATCCTTGCAAGTGACGGATAAAAAACATTATGATAAATGGAGATAATATTGAATTTATCAAGGATACCATTTTACTTGGATCCACAATCAACACCCATGGAAGCAGCAGTCAAGAAATTAAATGACATACTGCATTGGGGAAATCTGCTGCAAAAGAACTTTTTAAAGTGCTAAAAAGCAAGATGTCACTTTGAGGACTAAGGTATGCCTGACCCAAGCCATGGTATTTTCAATCATCTCATATGCATGTGAAAGCTGGGCAATGAATAAGAAAGACTGAAGAACTGATGCCTTTGAATTATGGTGTTGAAAAATGTTGAATGTACCATGGACAGCCAGAAGAATGAACAAATCTGTCTTGGAAGAAGTACAGCCAGAATGCTCCTCAGAAGTGAGGATGGCAAGACTTCACCTCACGAACTTTGGACATGTTATCATAAAGGACCAGTCGCTGGAGGACATCATGATTGATAGAGGGTCAGCGAAAAAGAGGAAGACCCTCAATGAGATGGACTGACACAGTGGCTGCAACAGTGGGCTACAACATAGCAACGACTGTGGGGATGGTTGTAACACAGGGTCGCTATGAGTCTGAATCAACTTGATGGCACCCAACAACAAATAGCTGTGGTTATAATCTCATTTGGGAATGGGTTTTCTTTGTAAATGAGGCAGAATTAGTGTAGGCTGTGTCTTAAGTCAATCTCCTTTGACATATAAAAGAAATTAAACAAGCAAGAAAGTGGAGCAGAGATGGGGAAGAGAGATGCCAAGCCACATGAAGACCACCCAGTAGCAGAAGCTCAGAAAAGACAAGGGCCTTCCTTCAGAGCCAACAGAGAGAAAGCCTTCCTCTAGAGCCAGCAACCTAAATTTGGACATCCAGGCTCCTAAACAGTTAGAAAATAAATTTGTTTGTTAAAACCGTCCACTTGTGGTATTTCTGTTTTAGCAGCATTGGATAACTAAGACACTAGGTAATGCTAATGCTGCTGGTTGGGACCAATTCTGAGAACCACTAGTAGAGCAGTTGTTCTCAAAATTCATTATACATAAAGAATCACCTGGGGATGTCGTTAAAATGTAGATTCTGACTCAGTATATCTGAGGTGGAAATGCAAATTCTCAGCAGGGGTTCAAACTGGAATGAACCGGTTCGAAACCCTGGTTTCTCTCCACTGTGCAATCTCGTATGTTGTTGTAATGAAGAGGAAAGCAGGAAGACTTTGCCACATTGTTTACATTCATGAGTTTTCTCTTCACTGTGCAATCGTTTATGTGTCCGTAAAGATGATGACCACTTGAAGGTTTTCCCGCATTCCTTACATTCAAAGGGTTTCTCTTTACTATGGGTTCTTTCATGTCTTTGAAAGTAATCACTATCACTGAAGGCTTTCCCACAATGCTTACATTCATAGGGTTTTTCTCCTGTGTGTGTTCTCATATGTCTTTGAAGGTGTGTCGGATGAATGAAAGCTTTCCCACATTGCTTGCAATCATAGGTTTTCTCTCCACTGTGCAATCTCATATGATTTTGTAAAGATGGGGCACAAAGAAAGACTTTGCCACATTGTTTACATTCATAGGGTTTCCCTCCATTGTGCATTCTCATATGTACTGGTAAAGATGAGTGACACTTGAAGGTTTTCCCACATTCCTTACATTCATACGGTTTCTCTTTAGTATGGGTCCTTTCATGTCTTAAAAAGGAATGGAGATAAATGAAGGTTCTACTGCATAATTTACACGCGTAAGGTCTTTCTCCACTGTGACTTTTCACATGCGTTCTTAGGTCTGATGGAAACCGAAAGGATTTCCCACATTCCTGACACTGATATGGTTTGTATCCAGTGTGATTTGCAATGTGCCTCTTAAGGGAGGTATGATGTATGAAGATTTTTCCACACTCACTGCATCTGTATGGATTGACTCCAGTAAGAGTTTTCTTGTACATACTAATATTTGGAATCTGGCTGAAAGTTTCTCCACATCTATTACGTTTAGTACCTTCACAGAGTCTCTCAACCATATGATTTCTGTTAAAATAGGGAAGTATGTTATTTATAGTATATTAATGATTCATATATTAACAATGGGCTCAAGCATAGCAACAATTGTGAGGATGGTGCAGGATGGGGCAGTGTTTCGTTCTGTTGTGTATAGTGTTGCTGTGAGTTGGAACTGACTTGACACCTAACAACAACAATTTATTAATATTTACTAATAAATATTAGGATTCCATTTTACTCAGTTAATCATGTCAGTAAAAAAAGTAGGTTTTTGGGCCTATTTGAATTGTTAGAGTAGAATAAACTAAATGCTCTCAAAAAGGGCACAAGCACAACTATTAATATTTCTTACATATGGGGTTTCCTTACAATTATTTCCTACTGATTTATGGTTCAAACACTCAATGTATAAGTCAAATTAATGAAACTTTTTTGTGAAAATTTTCTTGTGAATGAACAAAAATGCAGCTAGGCATATGTGTGGTTTCTGCTTGTTCATTCACTGCTCTAATTTCAACAAATACTAAGATTCTCTCCTGGGACACTGCTTTCTCTTTTAAGTGCAACTCACCTCAGATACTTCCCAAGGTTTTTGTGCTGATCTTCAATGCTAAGGCCTTCCCAAATTTTTCCTAAAATGGAGGCCAAAGAATCCCTTCTTGTAAACTTTAGTATTTTATGCCCCTTAAATATTTGTTTCCCATAAATATTCTGTAGAGAAACTGACCCAATGTCCTTAAATTGAGTCTCATCATCTGAAACAAAAAAAAAAAAAAGTGAACAAAATCTTACAAGGAAGAAAGGATCTGTTAGTAAAAAAAGAGGTTGAGAAACTTAGCTGTTTCAGGGCTTTATCACTAAAAGTCCCCAGGGGCCAAAGAGAAAGCAATTTCATAGACATAGTAAAATCCTCACGAGGGTCCAAACTTCTCCAAGCCTCAAAATGAGCTGTGAAACCTATATCCACACTGATGGCATTAAGTCTTCACAACACTAAGGGAACTTCAGGTCTTTTCACAAAGTCAGGAAAAAAAAAAACTCAATATACAGATTCTCATGGTCATGGAGAAACTTAAAACTCTAGCACCATGATGGCGGTGACCATGTATGTCTTACTGACCAGTGTATTCCTCTCAACACATTTCAAGTCTTGGAACAGCCTTATGAGCTAGAAGTGATTGTTCTCTAAATAACTATGTGAAGGAGTAATGTCATTCTTACCTAGTGAGGCCAGGTTTCTGAAGGTTTCCAGCATCACATCTCTGTAGAGCTTCCTCTGAGCAGGATCCAGCAATGCCCACTCCTCCAGAGTGAAGTCCACAGCCACATCCTCAAATATCACGGACTCCTAAAACATATGATGTATGTGTGCAGGAGGATGGGTGAAGCTGACAGCACTGGAGGACTTCATTCATAAGCAGTTCAAACAAGATTCTGTGGTCTCCCACCAACTACCCTAAGAATCAAGCATCAGAACTCTTACTCTCTGTCTACACTAACACAGAAACAGCACTAACAACACTGCAACCACTTGAAGTCATACTCCTATCAGAAGGGTTCAGGGTACACCAAAAAAATGAGCTTAATACTATAGACATGTAACAACTCTTTCTACTTTATGATTATCAACTCCATGTTAAAAAAAATTTCATCTCCTTCCCTACTGCTCACCACATCACTCAGCACTACATCAAGCAAAGGGTCTGAGATCTGGTAGCACCAGATCTCACCTAACTTCAGGAGGGGGGGATGATAATCAGCATCACCCCAACGGTGATTCCTACAGGGTGGAGGTCAGACATACCTCTACTCTCCAATCTTTTTTACCAATTCTGACACCAGCCGCCCTCCACACGGCACTCTTTACTTCTCTCCTGGCTCCAGTAATTTGTTGCATTGGCCACACACAACTCACAGACCATACTCACAGTTACGGGGTTTATTAGGGGAGTAATAGGCTACAACTCAGGATCAGCTCAGGAAGCACAAGGCAAGGTCTGGAAGGCTACCCCAAAGTGAGGCACATATCCCCCTCCCTTCTTTAGTGTAGCACAGCTCTCTCTCCCTCCCTCTCTCTTCTCTCTCGGGCCTCTGGTTGTCTTCAGTGTTACAGCCCTTGACCTGCATTTCAACATCTTTAGCTCCACTGTCAAGCCTTCTGCCTGAAGACGCTCAGCTGTTTCTCTTTGTCTGCTTCTCTCTTTTCTTCTCTGCTTGCCTCTGACCATCTTTGTGGGGTTGGCTCCTTATATAGGCAAGTGGCTCAATCCAATTGGGCAGATTTTCAAGCCATTATCTGCACAATAACTGACCAATCCCCTTGCTGGACTAAACTGACCAATCTCCTCACTGGACTGGAAGTGTCTCCATCTACTTGCATAATAACTAATATTTTCTCCCGGCAGGGACTGGCTTCTCCAAAGAACTAGGGAAACTGTAAGAACCCCTCAGGGCCCAGGAGAAAAACCTCCCAAGTTGTCTCCCCTTTTTTCTCTTTCACAGAACCAAGACAAAAGGCCACATAAAGGAACCCATTTCACCACAGGGTCAAACCTAGAAGAAATTTTAAAGAATAAAAAAACCTTTGAAGAACTGAGAACTATTCCTTCTATTCCCCTCACCAAACATGAGAGGCCAAGTGGCCTAAGGAAACCCAACTTGCAGCAAGGGCCAGCTAGTAACAGCATCTTCAAGAACTCTGGCCGTTGGAAGGAGACAGGTCCAATTGGCTCAATGAAAATATTCTTTTGTAGAAGTATTAATCTTAACTTATCTAACAGTTACCACAGGCTCAGTGAGTTCTGTGTGGCTTTTGCAACGAATTATCAAACCCAGTAGAGAAGTAGAGAGTGCCATGGGGAGAATGGCTGGTGTCAGACATGATAAAAAAAAAAAAAAAAGGTTGGAGAGTGAAGGTATGTGTGACCTCCACCTCACAGAAATCAGCTTTGTACTGATGCTGATTCTCCTCCCCTCAAGTAATGTAGATGAGGTATGATGCAACCACATTTCAATCATCAATAGACTTACATCCATAAGTAGGAGACAGAGAAAATACTGCCGTGCAAGAATTAGGATGCTAGAATTTACCTATTCAGCAGAGCAGCAGCAGGATAGGAATACCTATAGCGTTGGTACACAGTGATGTGCACTCCCTGGGTCAGCCTTAATCGCCCTGGGTACAGCTACCTGTAGTGCTTTTCCACAAATGATGCTAGACTTACTGGGCTTCCACGTGCAAAAACAAAGGACTCTAGACACAGAGCTTACATCCTTCATAAAAATTAACTTAAAATGGATCGCAGACCTAAATGTAAGGAGCAATATTATACAATTCACGGAACATAAGATAAGAGAAAATCTAGGTGACCTTGGGTTTGGAGATGATTTTGTAGATACACCACCATAAGCACCATCCACATGAGAAAACCATGATAAGTTATACTTCATTAAAATTAAACTTCTGCTCTATGAAGGCCACTATTAAGAGATTGAAATGGCAAGTCACAGACAGGGAGAGAATATTTGCGAAACACATCTCTCATAAAGGATGTTTCCAAAATACACAAAGTACACTTAAAACTCAGTAAGAAAGCATATAACCCAATTCCAAAATGGGCAAAAGGGCAAAGACACCTCACCAAAAATATACAGATACCAGATATATGGACATGGGCAGTCCCTAGGTTACAAACCTCCGCCTTACATACAAACTCGTCCTTGTCCATTAATGTTCTATAAATTTGTCCTCACTTTGAAACGACTGAACCAACTCCTACTTGCAATTCTTCATCACAATCACCTTCACTTGCTGCATGTGCAGCTTTTAAATCATTGAAAAGGCTTCAAGCCTTTTCTTGCACTAAAGTAAGGCTTAATAGGAACCGTATGCACCTATTCTGACTCCCTACAAATTCTTAAAGTCACACTTAGGAACAGATCTCATTCGTAACCGAGTGATTGCCTGTACGTATATCATGCACAGATAAAAAGTAAACATGTGAAAAGATGCTCAACACATTTCATTAGAGAACCGCAACTGAGAACAATGTGGCACCACTACACACCTATTACAATGACTAAAATCCAAGCCACTGATGACACCCAACACTCCTGAGGACGCGGAGTCCCAGGCACTCTCCTATGCTGCTGGTAGGAAAGCAAAATGGTACAGCCACTTTGGGAGACAATCTGGCAGTTTCTTACAAAGTTAAACACAGACTTACCACACAATCCAGGTATTTATCCAAATGAACTAAAACGGTAGGTGCAAATGAACACCTGCATATGAATGTTTATAAGCCCCTTTCTTCAAAATTACCAAAAACTGGAAGCAACTAAGATGTCCAATAAGTAAATGGATAACCACTGTGGTACATCCATAACATGGAGTATTACTTAGCGATGAAAAGACATGAGCTGCCAAAAGACATGGAGGACCCTGAAATGCATGTTGTTAAGTGAAGGAAGCCAGTCTGAAAAAACTACATGCTATCTGATTCTAACTGGATGACATTCTGGGAAAGGGAGAACTACAGAGATGGTAAAAAGGTCCGTAGTTGCCAGGGATTGAGCGGAGAGGGATGCCTAGGCGGAGCACAGATGAATTTCAGGGAAATGAAGCTGTTCTGTACAATACTGCAATGGTGGACCCACGGCATTCAGCATTTGTCAAAATTCATAGAACTGGAAAACTCAGAGCGAGAACTCTACTGTAAACTACGAATTTCAGTTAAGCAATGGATCCCTAATGGTTCATCCACTGTGACAAACGTACCATAATGGAATGGAGCAAAATATGTTAAGTAACAGAACAGTGTGCTGGGAAGAAGAGCTACATGGGGACTCTCTGTACTTTCTGCTCAATTTCCCTGTGAACTAAAAACTGGCCTAAAATCAGGTAAAAAAAATTACTGGGTAACATCAAAGCAGAATGAAAGAAATGGAAAGATGGCACGAGTTCTTAGAAGATTCAGTGCAACCAAGATGTCAGCGTCCTCTAAAGAGAACTATGGTCTTAATAAAACTCCATCAAATTCTTAAAAGCAGATGTTTTAGACCTTAGGAAACACTGAAAACATATATGAAGAACAAATGTCCAAGAATAACCAAAATGGTGCGAAGAACAAGGTGGAGGTTGTCTAATATAGGACAAGGATTTTAAAACTGCAGTAATCAAGACACTATAGTATTAGCACAGGAATCCACAACTAGATCCATGGAAAGAACAGTCGTCTACCAGCCCCGTATATGGAAACCTCATGCAATCTTTTTTAAATCTTTGAATGCTTCATTAAGTTTAAACAAATAAATACAAACGATATTTTACTTTTTTAAAATAGTTTTAAATTTTAATTAGCAATGAGTTTACTGATTAGGGAATCCAGATCTAATTATCTACACGCTAACATTTATAAAGGTACAAACCCACTTTGGCATATTTTAAAAGGGACAAACTCAGTGACTGAAGAACCCAGCAAAATCACTCAAACCCAATGTTTATGTACAAAGGGGGAAATAAAAGTGTAAGGCACCTTTTAGGACTCAATACACACCTAAAAAACTTAGGACACGCGTTCTGGGGAGAAAAAAGGTGAGCAAGAATTTTTAACAAATGGAATGCAAGATTTGAACATTTGCAATATTTTTCCTGAAATTCGCGTCTTTCTCGCCTTTTCCAAGTATTTTAACCCATCTTTCAAGCTCTTTTAATGTAACGTACAGACCATGCAGACCAAGTAGGACCCTCCCTCACGGTCTGTCGGGCAGCAGAGCTCCGGGCCGGGGGCGAGGTCGCTGCGCGCGGGGACGGACAGGACACGGAGTGGGGTGGGGACACCGGGGTCGCGCGCACGACCGCTTTCAGCCGCTCTGAACCGGCCTCTCCCCTCACCCGAGTCTCCGACACCCGGCCCACGCTCACCATCTCCCGGTCCCGCTTCTGGGGGACCCCAGAGCGTCTTCCTTGCGGCCTGGCGCCCAGAGCAGCTGAGAGGGGACAGGGACTCGGACACCAGGGACCGCTAGGGGGCGGTGAGGCGCGTTCGCACTGAGGTCACGCGCACGAGGACGTCAAGTGGGTTTACGGAGCGGCGCCCCGGCCCAGGAGCCTCTGATTGGACAGTGTGCCGGCCACGCCCCGAAGGCTCTGATTGGATAGTTCTCCAGCCGGCCAATCTCCTGGACGGCTGAATGACAAAAGGGCGGAAGATGCTTGGCCGGGGGGCGTGGCTTCCTCTGGCCCCACCCCCGGGACGTGCGCATTGGACGCATGCGCTCTGGCTGCGGGCGAATACGGGCGTCGTCCCGGAACTTCCTGCGTCTCCTCCCTGGACGCGGGGACACGGGTGCGCGCAGGAACTGCAGATTCGGCTTCCAGGAGGCCGACCCCACGTCCAGAGCTGGAGGGGCGCCCAGGCAGGGCGAGGACAAGAGGGCCTGGTGTCCCCGGGGTCAGGGGTCGGACGGGACCACGCAGGGACCTCTGCCTATATCTCAACACCTGCACTAAAAATTGACATTATCGTGGATGAATTTTCAGGAGAAACGTTTTTTCTAGTTGGTCTCGGAATCTTTGATTTTTTTTATTAAGTTCATTAAACAGGTGCATTTCTATTTCTAGTTTGCTTCTGTAAAACTCGACTGAATATTATTTTATGTATTATCACGATTTTTTCTGTCATCATTCCAATTTGGATTCTTCTGCCATCCCCCAATGACTCTGTTTACACTGTTCGCGGGGCCCCACTTCCCCACGCTCCTGAACTCAAGAGATTTGGATGAGTCCACACCACTGCCCTCTCTCATCCTCAGACACAAGCAGTTGCTTACAGAATACATCCCTGCAGGGAGCCCTCTGACTCCATTTCCGTTTCCACCCTCCCTCTCCCCACAAGGCTGACTCTGTTCCTAGGTGGGCTCAGTTTAAACCTCTTTATCACATCCTCTCTTGAACAGTATTCCCCTTGTGGGCCTTATTTTCCTTTTTGTTAATCTCTGTAGAATTTTCTTCTCGACACTCACACCCCTCTTTTCCTTTCCATATTTAGGTGCTTGTTGTCCATTTCCCCAACCTAACTGAAACTCCACTGGAAAAAAGCCTGTGGACACTTTTCCTCTCCAATTGTTAGGGGACCCTAGAGGTGGAGGACACCTAATAATCAGTACTCCACCAGTTATCAGGCCACTCACAGTCATCTCCCCACCACGACACTCACTTCCTCTAAGTTGTTTTGTAGACTCTCTGGAGAGCCCAGGATGGATCCAGATCTAACCAGCTCAGAGTGGTCAGACATGCCTAGAACAAAGAAGATCAACAGATGACCCCAGGCTGCCACGCATGCGCAATGACACAGGAGAACTCTTGCCAAGGAAGGCAGACTCATGTCAAAGAACCAAAATCACCAGACATACCTCATCCACAGTAGCCGAGCCCATTTCAAAAGTGAAGAGTCTGTCGGCTGCTTCCTTGCCAAGTCTTAGGCCTGCCCCATTATAAATGATCCGTAAAAACTATGAATATGTAGAACTTCCTGATCCTGCCCACCTGTCTGCCTCCACCCCTATATGAATATGTATAGTTCTCCAAACCTATAAAATGTAAATGCCTCCTCAAATCAAGGAACTCAATCTGAGGTTGATACCTCTGAGTTCCCGCTTGCTAGCCTGCAAAATAAACTTTCTTCCTCTCAAAACCAGCGTCTGAGAGATTGGCTCCTTGCACGCTGGGCACAGACCCACTGGTCCAGTTTCACAGTGTTGAGTCCGCACAGCACCTGGGTGGCCCTTGATGATGCTGCTGACCCTCCTACCCAGAGTACACCCTCAGACCCAGCCCACAGTGCAGTTAGAATCTGTATTTTACCAAGACCCCAGGGAGATTCTTGAGCACGTGAGAGTTTGAGGGGCACTCATAGCTCCATGGCAGGTGGGAACTGAAGGTATGAATATACCAATAGATTATTGTCTTGTCTACCTTTTGAGGCCTGTTAAGCCAGAGCAAGACTGAGAGAACTTTGTCCTGACCAAGAGAATGGATGCCGGTGCTATTGGCTGACATGGGGAAGCCAGGGCAAGAAGCAGATTGGCTGGGGTTGGATTCAAGATCTTATCTGCACTTTCACCTTGAGTGACATATGATTCATTCCAAGTGGAGATCTCAAATCAGCAACTGGACAGAGCAGTCTGTTCAGCAGTACCAGCTCAGAGATAGACATGGAGATGTAATACGTTTGTAGAAGTTATTACAAGCCTTAGTACAGATTTATTTCAATGAAGTAGATTGTAAAGGAAGAATGAGAGCAGGCCCAGGGTTAAGTCACAGGATTCCAAGAAAAAGGAAATTAATCAAATAAGCTCTTAGTGTAGAGATTTTGACTATATTATTCCCTTGGATCTAGCACTGGTCTGGGCCCATTAAATATTCCTTAAATGTTTGGGGGAGGGGATGTCCTTAGTGACACAGGTGGGTCTTTAGACTGGGTTGGTCTTGAAGCCCATAAGAACGTAGGGTCCAGGTCTCAACCTCTATGTTGCTTCCTCCCAGCCACAGGAAATCAGTGACACCCACCCTACCCCTGACTTATCTACCTGGAGCACAGGAAAAGCACAGTCCAGGCATGAATTAGGAAATTTATACATATCTGATATTGTGGAATTACCTATCTCAGGTGCAACTCCTACATTCTGGGCCAAAGTTCAGTGAAGTTGAATGAAGGCTTGAGTTTTACATAAAATGACTAAAATTCCAAAGGGAGTCCTCATCCCAAATGCCATCTCCAAAAAATGAAAAAGAAACTCATTTTTCTCCAGATGATAAGACTACCTGAAGGTGTTTACTAACCATCCTTCTTTTAGGCATTTGTGAATTTACCTCTCATGAATATTCAGTACTTTCACAATAAAGAAAATCTACTAAGTGGCATCATTTGTTCCATATATACATAATAAAGGAGCCCTGGTGGTGCAATGGTTAAATGCCCAGCTGTTAAACAAAGGGTTGGTGGTTTGAATTCACCAAGAGGATAGAAGCCAAGAAAGACCTGGCTATCTGCTCCCAAGATGTAATCCATACTGAAGGCTGTGGTCTTTGATCTTCATCAGTTAGTGCTTCAAGTCCTCTTCACTTTCAGCAAGCAAGGTTGTG